TGGAGCTACGACATTAGCCAGATTGATTGGGGGATGTCAAATTTGGAGAAAGTCCGCTGAACGGTTTAGATGCTAGTGTTGACCACAGACGGACGGTCGTTTCGCCGTCAATCGATATTTCGGTATCAAGAACCAACAAAACATGGATTCTAGCTACATAACGAGTTAGAGGATTTTTTCTAAATTTAGAAACAGAATTTATCCACTTTTTCGTCACCAGAACCAGAAAATACGTTTTTTATTGTTTTTTTCTGGCGAAATTTCAAATTTTCAACGGCGGATCAATAACAATTTTTTTTTTGTATTTTGAAAATACAAAATACTGTCAGAAAGCATTTTTGATACAAATAAAAAATACACGGTTTAATGTGTATTTTCATTACCAAATATAAATTACAAAAGTGTCGACAAACACGTATTTAAATTCAAATATTTTCGATACTGCCCAACTCTAGGCAACATGATATGAAGTTGGCGTTTTTTTTAACGTCCATCCGTTTGTTTAGGTTATGTGAATGAACAACAGTAGTGCCTAAACCATGCGTCGATTTTTTTTTTTTTTTTTTTTTTTTTTAATTAAGGAAGCTCCTCTCCATTTGGCCTGAGTGGTAGCTCTGCGATTTTGAAAATCATTCATTAGTTTTGGAGGTACTTTACAAAAAGCCTTTAGGACGTATTCAAAATTTTCTCAAAAATGACTCCAAATTTTTTTTTTAAGTATCTTATACAAAAATAGAGTAAAATGCTCTTATAAATATGCATAGGTCCGATTTTCACGGTTAACTCAAAAATGTCTGAATTTTTTTCGGTTTATTCCTGCAATTTAAAATTAAAGATAAAGATTTTTCCTTCAAATGAAATGTTTGTGCATAATTTCTTCTTTCACTAAGTTCATGTACATTTTTTTGAAAATTTTGCTAGTTTTCTCGCTATATTGCGTGCAATTAAAAATAAATTACAAAACCAGATTTTCTCAATGGCTCCAAACTTTTTCTTTAAACTTTTGCTAGGGATTGTGCTAAATGCACTTTATAAGATGACATAAACCCCATGTTGCTCTATTCTTTTGTTTTTTCAAAAATTACAGAAATGTAATTTTTTGACTTGTCTCTCATGTCGTTAATATTACATTAGCGGCAATTCGTACACATTATTATATTTATGAGTACATATTCTTTAAATAATGTCAGATAAAGCTTCTCGAAAAAGCAACTTTTTTTGTCAAAACTTGTTCAAAATTTCGCAATTTCAGAAACGCTTAAACGCCATTTTTTCAAAAACGGATCCATTTTTTTCTTCAAACTTTTCGAAAGGATTGCGCTAATTGCACTCTTTAATATGACGTTAAGTTCATTTCGGGATATTTTTTTTGTTTTTTCAAAAATAACACGAATGTAATTTTTTTAAAATATCTCTCACGACGGTAATACAGCAATTTGTAAACACCATTGTGAGTTAAAGTGCTTCAAATGAAGCTTTTCTAAAACAAAAGTTTTCTGTGGCAAGTTCATATAGGTAGCCGAGACCAAAGGTTATAGAAAACTAATATGGGAAAATCTGTGCCCTTCACCACTAGTTTGCTTAATCGCACTTACTAACGTAAGAAGAAAGTATTGTAACCATGCGCCGGAAAACAGTCAATTTTCGACACAAAAACTTATTGCCGGGCGCCGGTAAGGAAGTATAGTAGATATATCATGTTGCTAAGTATAGAGAAAAATCCACTAGCATGTGGTGTAGCCAGAATCTATGTTTTGTGGGGTTTTCATACTGAAAAATCAATTGACGGCAAAACGTCTTTCTGTCCATCTGTGCACAACGCTAGCGCGTAAACCGTTCAGATGATTTTCTCGAAAATTGATATTTCACAATTGAATCGTTCATTTCAGAATCCCGTCAAACGCCAAATTCCTCGTTTCGAGAAAACTGAAAATAAGTCTCTCAATTTTTCAGATTTTAAAATATTTTTTGTATTAAAGGAGTTGATAAACAAATATTTTTCCTATAAATAAGTACTATTCTCATGGAACAGAAATCGGTCGCTAAAGAATGTTTTGTATTTTGCCATTTGACGGGTTTCTGAAATAAACGATTGAATTGTTCTAGCTGTTAATTTTGGGAGGTACTTAACTAAAGTCCTCTGTGATTTTTCAAAAAAACAGGTCCGAATGTTCAGATTAAATTTTGTTGTCGAATAGAGCAAAGGACGTTTAAGAGAATGATGCAGGTCTCATTATCGTTAACATCCCCGACTTTTTTTTTAAATTGGAAAGAAAAACAAATATCTTTGAAATTGTAGATAGAGATTTGTGTCTCAGGCAAAGTCTGTTGAACAAAACTAGCTCTTCAAAAAAGGCTATGTACAATTTATTGAAAAAACGTGTAGTTTTTGCGTATTTTGTGATTGAAATTTACAAAACAATTCTCAAAAACTGTTCCAATTTTTTCTTTACATTTTCTTCACTCATGTTATAAGAGACGATAAAAAGTATGGAGATAGTAATATTTTCGAGTATTGCTCGGTTTTTGAAAATAAAAAAAATCATTTTAAAACTAAAAAATCGAAAGATTTTTGCCCAAAGTCTTTTGTTCAAAATTAGCTCGTTAGAGTAGGTCATGTACAATTTTTTTGAAAAACCTAGTAGTTTCGCGATTCAAATTAACACTTTTTTTGGCATAATCTGCTCATTTTTTCGTTAAATTTCTCCATAAATGTATAAAGGAACTGTAAGAAATACAGCGCTAGTCTCATTTTCGGGTATTGCTAATTTTTTCGAACATTCAAAAGAAAAAAAACTAGAATGTTAAAGAGAGATTTTTGCTTAAAAAATAGTCTGTAAAAAAGATCAGGTACAATTTTTTGAAAAACACAAGTAGTTTTTGCGTTATGTCTGGTTGAAATTAATGAAAGTTATAGGGGCACGACCCATCACACGAACCACGGACAATCCGGGGGCCATCACACGAAATACGAGTCACGAGAAATATTGAATGAGTGATATGAAAAATAATTTAATTTTCATTATAATTTCTATTTAAAATTCCTATATTGATTTTATTTTTGATTTCTCGCACTTTTACTTTACTTAATTCTACAATTTGTATTCTCAATGTATTGATGTACGAGTGCATAAAATTGACGGTCTGCGGACGATATAATCGTTCATCGTTCCTTCATACCGGAGGCAGTGCTAAGTAATTTACGCCATAATTCATAAAATTATAATATTGTCCATTTTAAGATAAACAACTGTGGAGTACACGCAACACCACTTAGAAACTGTATATCTGGGTGATATCCAAGGGTATCAACTGGTTTAAAATTAAAAAATTCTGTAACAAGAATTAGACATACTGTTTCTGTAAGTTAATTTGCTTCTCAATCCAGATCTAATTTCAGAATTCCAGTATCGCCCTCGGTTTTAATGTGATTGCTTTTGTAATTGCGTATGTCTCTCGTATTATATTATCTGGCAAAATGACACGCTTTAATAACATCAGATTCACATTTATACAGTAAGAAACTAAGTACATCAAAATATGTGTTAAGAAAACATAAGAAGTGTCTTGGAATGTTTCACAGAACGCTTGAAATGTGGGTCTTCATGGATATCTCCTCTTATGCCTTTTGAATGTTCGCCACTGTAGCATTCATCTTCATTCACTGCCACGTTCTTGATCTTTACGAACTTAGAACAACAAGCAGTCACATCCAAGCTGTTCTGTCTGTTCGAACATGACATATCAGCAATGTTTCAAACGTTCTTCATTTCCTAAAGATGAATTTTGTGAATTCAGTGTCATTTATAAGAAATTCTTGTACACATTTCCATTGTTACTGAACAATTACATGTGCAGAATTGTTAAACAAAGCTACAGCAAAATAACCAATATACGGCGTTTTGAAGCATATCGATAAATATAGAGTAGGACAATAAAAATTGGCTATTATACCACTTATTAATGTTTATTGATTGTCTATTTAGTTATTTATTTCTCGTATCTTTTAATGAGAGACAACATTAGATAGATTAAATCAGAAATACGTCACTTGAAAACGCATGTATTGGGATTCCATTGTCACTACACTTCAACCCAATTGTTGTTTTTTTCGCCTAATATGGCATCTCTACATTGCACTTACATGTTCGTTTTTCCGTTGCTCTAACGAGAAAGTATGTGTTGTTTAGCACCACTATTTAATACACGGAGTACAAAATAGTAATTAAAGATTTAGATTAGTTTTATTTGATTTTGCTGTGGTGGCTGACATCAATATCAAGAGTTGGTGTAAACTTTTTTTTATCCTGATCTGTAAAAAATGGTTTGGGGTTAATGACTTCATAATAAAATAGTGAAAAATTCTTTCATTTGATTCTGCTACGGTGAACAGGCCGTCGTGATATTAAGATAAGGGGAGATCCCGTTTTTACAGAAATTGATAAACGAAAAAAATGGTTTTGTATGAATAGATTATTATTAACATAGTTACAAATTATGGCTCTAGTTTTATTTGATTCTGCTATGGGGAGCGGGACAGTTTGGTGGACCTTTCAAAATCTGCTTCCTCCGCGCAAGCAAACTGACAGTCTACCGCCAGGTGTCCCTGTTATCGCCATGTCACGAAAATCAAACAGCACTCGAAAAAAGTGATTTCTGACACCACCATTTCACCGCAACTGAATGTCATGAGCCACGATTTTTTTGTGTCATGACCCCAAAAGTCGTTGTGTATCACCGTAAAAACGATCCTTAAATGTACCGCCCACAATACAAATAAACTGCCCGCAATACAAAAAACATGTTCATACTGAATGGTATAGACATACACGTAACGTTTACAGTAACTCAATTTTTAGTGTTTATGAATTAACCAAATAGTGAATATTAACTTGCGTTTGGTGGGTGATTGATACTACAAGCATTTGCAATAGCTAGTGCATTATTTATGCGAATCTCGACGTTAATGTTCGGAAAACGAATATGATATTTTAGTGCTGCATTTTGGCAGCACTGAAATGCCGTTCAAATTTAAACTCGAGAGAGTAACGGGATATTAGCAACGCTTGTTTTCAGCAACAGACGTCGAATGAGCTATAGAGTTTGATTCTGAACTGCTGTGGAGTGTGAAACGTTTATGTGAATGCCGAAGTATTTTATTGGGAAAGTGTTGAAGGGTAGATGTGTTTTTTTGTCAACAAGAACGATTGTGATTGATTTTCGGAATGGATTGTGAAAGCGACGTGAGGTAAGGTGTCTAAAGTTTTTTTTCGTGGGGAATTGTCGTTGTCTTCTATTTCATTTCATTTTAATTATAGGTCCCTGTGTGTAACCACTCTGAAAGAGCTTTGCGACAGTAAGATACAAGAACTTTTTGAAATATGGGGAGTTGTTGGCCATCAAAATCTCGAATCAAGGTCCAATGTGGTCTGTAAAAATGTGGAGGTAATGAAACTTGTGTTAATCCTATTTTCGTGTTAATTCTTTCTGCATGTGCACTAACAATCTCAATTATTGAAATATTTTACTTAACTAGTTTAAGCGCTCTGCATTTATTGTTAAATTCTGATTTAATGAAGCATTTTTGTAGACTACTGAATGAAAGGGTGATAGTGTGTAATGTAAATATAGTATTATAATTGGTGAGTACTGATATGAAAAATGACTTTTATTTCTAAATAGTACACCTTTCAAGTAATTTAATATTTGTAATATTACTGTATATTTGCATATTGTATGAAAATATTTTCCTGCCTCAAGTGATCTACCAAAGATCAAGGTACCCACCAAGATTTTATGTTAACGAGTAAGCTACAGAGGCAGAAGTTTTCAAGAAATCTTATTAACTCTATAATGTCTGAAGCGGTCATTGTAACTTCTGTTTCAGTTCCTCTTTGTGTCTTGAATTTATTTTGCTGCTGGTGTTGTATATCATTTATAAAACTCATTTTCATTCAATGTATCATCTTCAAGAAGTACCTTGTCAGTTACAGACACATACAGCTCATTTTACATGTATTGTAGGATTAACCCAAAATATTTTGATATAAGTTATTTTTCTTAATAAATATTATTAATTTATTGCAATTATTATTTGTTATTGAATAAACAATTGTTCTGTTGGTGGTGCACTGTGCGAGCATTTACATGTTAGAAAAGAATGTGATTAAAGAAAGGTTAACCAGTTCCTGTGACTCCCTTTGGTCTTTGTAGTGAGACCAGTAATGTCAGCTCTGGCTGGTATATTGAAATAAAGGGATTTATATGGCTAGGCAAGTTTTATTTACAAATGCTTGTAGGAATATAGTTTCTACATAAATCAAGTTTTCTGAAACCATACTTACTTTAAAATGGGAAATGGTATAATCTTTCTGAGAGATTTTAAGGTATATTTACTGGAATGATTTTACTAAACATAATTATTTATAAATCTAGTAATAATATCTCTCTCTCCCAACTCTCTGCCCCTAGAGGGAGGAAGTTAATTGGCTGCTAATGAAAGCCCATCCTGACTGTTAACAAAAGGTTTTGTTATAGTTCACAATTACTTGTCAGCAGCCAGGCAATTCTGGCACCCAGGTGTTATATTTACTGTTTTGTAATTTTATTTTATTGTGTAGGCCCTTTTAAACGACATGGTTGAAGAAGAAACAGAGTTCCGGAATAATCTGGCTATTGAAATAGAAGAACTGCTGAAAGAATCTGCAGAATTATGTGCTGTAAGTAGTATAGTATTAAAAATTGAAACATTTTTGCTTAAAAACGTTAATGTTTTTAGAGGGCATTGGCTTCATTACGTTCCATTTCTCACTTAAACTTCAGCAAACTCAATTTTCAAAATTTGCAAACAGAATAATTAACATTATAAAGTACAATATTGATATTTTTTTAATTGAAATCTGTTCTGAAAAATCAGAGCTTTAAAAGGTTGTCCACAATTTTTAAAAATGTGAGAAGTTTGGTGCAATTTTGAATTTCCTGCACTTCTTTGCATCTGGAGTTAAGTTACGGTTATTTATTTTACTGGAGTTTAAGTAATCTTGCTTGTGGCATTGCCATACATTATGAAAGGCTGTGACACGGCAGTTTAAAATTCTTGGAATAACTTCTTGCTGTTGGGTGGGAAATAATGAGGAGGCTTTACTTACTTTGCATTAATGTTATAATGTCTCTATATTTTTAAAAAAATGGTAAATTCAACTAAATTAAATTTGACAAGTAAATGTGTAGAGATAACATTGAATAAATATGCATAAGATGGAAATTAGGTAATGGCTTCGTAGTTTCATAATATATATACTGTCATATATATGTATTCACATGGTGATATATTGGATCCCTTCTCAATGTTTCATTTATGTGTGAAAATATCCTTGCTTGTTTATATATTGTTGCAAATATTATAGCAATTAAGATTTATTTAAGATTTTCTTGTGAAGAAGAAAGAAATGGTTAGTTCTTATTCAAATAATTGTAGATAGGCTTTGCAGGTGCTTTGTTTGAATTTGTTAGGAGATTTTAGAGTGAGGGCAGATATTGCAATATTATAATATTACAAAACTGTTTACCATAAAGCTAAAAATTATGTGCTGTTGTTTAACCAATAAAATCAAATGCAACCCAATGAGAATCAAATGTATTGAGATTTCTAGGCAAATACTGCTATAAAATAATTTAATATTCAATTAAATATTTTATCACAAGGTTTCTTTTTTCTCTTTCCTGTAGGAAGTGGGTGGTAACCATAATGATGTAGTAGCTGGTTTAGAGGACAGTAGTATTCCCCTTTTGCAAGTGAAGAATTTATTGAATATGCGAATGGAAGGCTACAGAAACTGTAAGCAACAGAGGCTTAGTGAATATGAAGATCTACTCCAAAAAGTGAGTATTGTTTAAATCTTTTGATAATTCTAATTTTTGTGTAGTTTCTGTTTGTTGTGTTTAATTTGATAAAAGTATATACTGTGTTGTACAAACCATTGACAAATAGCTATTTGTTTCAATTGTTTCAGGAGCAACAACTTGTCCTCTCTATGGGAATAAAAAAGAAACCAAAATTGACCAAACTTCCATCTGAAGAAGCATTACAAGAATTCTCTAGATACATAGAACAGAAATTTGATGAGGAAGTGAGTCTTTTTATTATTATTATTATTATTATTATTATTATTATTATTATTTGCCTGATTTTTTTAGAGGAAAAAGATAAACATTTAATGTTGTTGAAAGTAGCATCTTTCACATTAGGTTCAGTTGATTGTTTGTAGCAACTTTTCATTCTCAATATAAGAGTACATAGGGTACAGAAAGAAAATATATTATTTTCTTGTATACATATGAGTGGCGTAGTTACTGATATATTATAATTACTAATTTATGGAGTTAAAATATACATAATACAGAGGATGCTGCTGAAAATAGATTTTGAGATTTCAGCAGAAATGCACATTTTGGGGTTCTCCGTTACTGAATACCTGACCTATTGGTCTTTTTGTCAGTGAACACCACGAACACCTACACCATTGATACAATTTCTTCCCAAGTAGATATTCCCTGGTTGATGTGTCTCAACTCACAGTGCATTCTTTCTGAAACACCCTTTTAAAATTTAGGGATACTTAACATGAAGCCCCAGAGACATTTCCAAAATTTTCTCGTTGAATTTTTGAAAAATTCAAAATTGCCCAAAAAATACAAATTGAAGATGGAGATTTTTCTTTCAATTGAAATTTGTTGCCTATATTATTTTTTTATTTTTTTTTAGTCATGTACATTGTTTTCAAAATTTCAGAAAACAAGAAAAACAAAATTTTCTCAAACAACTTCAAATTTCTTTTTTAAACTGTGGCCACTGGTGTGTGCTCTTACTGCAATATCTTTCTAGCTATTGCTGCTTTTATCTGATTTGAAAACAGCCGCCTATATCTGCCTGAGAAGGCAGCAACATCATACTGCCCTCAGTTCAGCTGTCAAGCAGACAAATGTTGTTCGGACAGTAGCGTTAAAATTTTATGAAGAAATGTACCCAGTCTTTTAGAACATGGATAACAAACCTTTAAAGTAGTATGAAAACGTTAAACAGTAATTGGCAGGCGGATTTTCATGAATGTCTTCTAAGTGTTGATTGAGTCTAAGAAGTCCTTTTTGCCCTGTTTTTAATGCATTTTTTGCTGATTTAACCAATTTTAAACGCGTTTAATGTTTTTTACTTCAAATAATATTTATGAGTTGTAACAAATATTCTCCACAAAATTGCTGAGTAGCATTTTAGATTTCTTCTCTCGGAAATTGTAATGTCAGCCATTGTTGCGAATATGTAATCTAAGGCTCCTGTGTCACCTATCAGCGCTATTTCCTTTTCAGCCAATTGTGGGTAACTAGAGATGGATGTCCTGGTAAGTTGTAATCCAAACAAAACGTTGGTAAAACTAGTTCTCTTGAACAAATAGAAGAAGCCTCGGTTACATCAGTAATATATCCAATAGCTCGAATGGTTCATCCTAACTGGTTTTGATAACATTTTTTTACATCAGTTTTCCTCGCTTCTAGGGCATTTTAAAAACGTTTTAAGAGCTTTTTTTAAAAAATAATTTTTGACAATGCTTTAGTTAATGAAAATTCGCTCCCTAATAATAATATTAAATACAAAATATATTGTATAAAACTTTTTTTCAAAATATTTTATTCAAAATCTGAATTTGGACCAGATTAAGCCTAATTACTTACTTCTTGTCTTTGTCAGTGTCAACAATGAGCAATAAAGACCATGAAAATATAACACGTATCTGTAAATACTTCAATATACTCTCAAATTCTTGATTTCCACCATAAATTTGACCGGAAATTCAGGCCAACATTTTTTAATCAGCCTGCTTATCTATAACGAGTACTGTGCTCCCACAATGCAGTTGCAAGTTAAGTTTCTCCAATCCCATCTGAAATATCTGCTAGCACAAGAAGGGAAGCTCAAATTGTTTTCTTCTTAAAAAGGAGATGTCTTTTTTTGTAGATAAGGTTATATTTTCTATCCAGAACATTAGTTCTATATATCCACTCATTCACATTCTATTTATATGAAAAACCAAAAAAAAGAAGCTTGGACACACTTTCAAGATAAATTTTAAAATAACAAAGTGGAGAAAATCATTAAAATTGTGATTATTAATCTTCAACTTGATTAGATGCTGAGCTACAAATTTTGAAAACTATGATTATGGCAGCACATGAGAAATGTCCTGAATATGGCTTTAAATTAATTTCTCTCTCTTCTCTCTCTCTCTCTCTCTTCTCTCTCTCTCTCTCTCTCTCTCTTCTCTCTCTCTCTCTCTCTTCTCTCTCTCTCTCTTCTCCCCCCTCGTCTCTCTCTCTTCCCCCCTCCTCTCTCTTCTCCCCCTCTCTCTCTCTTCTCCCCCCCTCTCTCTCTCTGTTCTCCCCTCTCTCTCCCCCCCCCTTAAGTAATTTACACTAGGGTATAATAAGATTATTCCTTCTTCTCTTCTCGTGTCTTGCATTAATTCTTTCAATTTCTTTGTGTGTGCCTGATACAGAGGGAACTCAGGCATCAATATGAAGAAACAAAGCTGAAGATTGAGGAAATTACAGCAGAATTGGGAATTTCCCCCAACACAACAATCCATAAAATGTTGGTATCAGATTCCCAGTTTTGTTTATCAACTGAAAATATGCTGCTTTTGAAGGTAATACACAAAAATTTAGCCAATTATTTTGTTTGTGTATTTTAATATGCTATCTTGTAAATCCATAAATGTTTGGCAGAATTTCTGTATTGCATAGGTTTTAACTTATTATTATTATTATTATTATTATTATTTTACCAGCTGATGAAAATCGTTTAATGTGATTTTATTGTGTGATCCACTCTAGTAAGAAATTGTTTAATATAATCTTCTTTTTTTTTCTTTTAATAAAAAATCTGAGTTTTGCTGGAAAATGTAGATTGATTTGGTGTTTTTTATTATTTATTATATTATTATCCATAAATTGTTTAAAATTAAGAATACATTTTGAGTATCTCTTTCAGAATTTGCACCAAGACATGGAACAGCGGTTGGAAGAAGCTAAATCTGTGGCAATTGAACTTAGAGAAAAGCTTTCAAATTTATGGGAACGTTTACATGTTGATTATGCAGAACGTGACCTAATTTTCCAGCAATATCCAGGCCATTCAAAGACTTCCATTGATGCTGTAGGTATATTTTTTGTAAAGGAGTTAAAGTATTTAGTGAAATGCATAATATTTTTATTTAAATATGTATGAATTATATATGGATGTACATATCGGTACTTTTTTTCAATTTTACCTTATTCTTTGATTTTGGTGCAGTTAAAGGCTGAAATTCAGAAATGTGAAGAAAAGAAAAGACAAAATATCCGTGTATTTGTAGAAGCAATTCGTGAAGAACTTGCTTCATGGTGGGACAAATGCTGTTATGGAAAACTCCAGAGACAACAGTTTCGTTCCTTTTATTCAGACTGTTATACTGAAGATCTTCTTGAACTACATGAAATTGAAATTGAGAAGTTAAAAAGATACTTCAGTGAGAATATGTAAGGACTATATTTTTGATGTGACTGGGGGTGAAAATATCGATAAAATTTTGTGTGAAAGAGTTACAGGAGGTAATCAAATTTGTAAGTGTAATTTCTCCCTCCAGAAGATTTATCCAAATTTGTTCACAGTGACATCTTGGAATTGGCCAAGAAACGAGAAAAATTGTGGAAAAAAATGATGGATCTTGACGAGAGGGCTCACGATCCAAAGCGTTTATTTGCAAATAGAGGTGGTCAACTTCTTAGGGAGGAAAAAGAAAGGAAAGCCATTCAAAAGGTAAAGTCTTTTGGATAAAACTCAAAGTGAATATCATTATTTTTATTAAACCGGAAAGAATTTTTAAAAAAGGACCTAAATTAGACATTGAGATTGATATTACCATCCAACAATTATATATTTAAAAAGAAACTATCCAAAAAACAATTATGAAACAATAAAATATAAAAAGAATAAATGAAAGAACACAAAGATAAAATTGGCTAAAAATTATACAATAAAATCAAATCAATAATTAAAATTGAAAACTTAATGTGTTTAATATATAGTACAATAGTGAAGTACCATCTGACTTACATGCAACTTGATTTCTCCATTTTACAAACTTATCATTCTAATCAACTGTCTTGCATTTTTGTTTATAATCTACACCTTGTGCAGTTCAAAGAATGTTCACAGTACAATCATGTATCACATCTTTGGTTACAATTAAATAAGGCTAGTATGATCTAAACAAAATTATTATTTAAAAAAAACAACAACTTTAAATCAATATTTATTATTTGTAACAAATAGATTCAGCAATGCCTTGCTATTGAAGTGCATTACATGTTTCCACACGACTGGTCAGACAATTGTTACTCATTTTACGCCAAAATTCTAATAAAGGACATTCTCACAAGTATTGGTTTGTTCTATGTCCTGGTTTGGACATGATTGCCAAGAATCCTATTGTTAAAATTTTCTCCCTCAAATTTGTGCACATGTTCACTATAATACTATTGTGAAGAAATTTGCTTTACTTATCAGAGATTAAAGTAGTAATTCCGGCTAGTATTTCATAATCGCAGGGCCAGAATTCATATCATATATGACTTAACATTCAGGCATGAAGCGTAGTGCCAATCTTCAATCTTCTGCATCTCAAATTGGGATTTCTTGGAATAGATGATCACTTGCAAGATGTAGATCGATTTTTATGAGAATGGATTGTTTTGACACCTAGTGCTGGCAACTGGAGGTTCTGTGATCGTTATGTTCTTAAGCCCACTTGATTCTCGTTTGTTTCTTCCATTCCTTCCTTTTGTTCACAGTTGGCTGAGTTTAAAATGGCTTCAATGTTTCCTTTTTTAATGTCCTTGTTAAATGAAAATATAGTTTACCACTAAAAATAATTGATATTGGGAAGTGCAGTGCTACTGTAGAGTAATAATTAATTAGAGATTTAAAGGTTCATAACACAATTTTGTAACATTTTTTATATTTTTATTGCACGTTTGAGTTTTAGCACACCAAAATCTGGTCTCAATTGTATATTAAAGTTTCTTCGAAGCAGAATTTCTTCAACAGAAAAGAGGAAGGATCGTAAATTCTCTTTTCTTCTATTCTTTGTCCAATTAATAATCACTATGCTTTAATTTCAAATCATTAGAAATATTTTTTTCAACGCTCTTCCTATATTCTTCAGAGATCACATCTGTCCACCTTTGACTGAAAAATCTAAATGAAATTCATTAAATATCTTTCGATACATAAATAATTTTGTAAGTGACATCTTTCATTTTCTAAACTTTCCTTGTAGAGAAATCTTTCCTTTACATCTTTGTAATGTTAAAGTTAAAGGTACTCTTTACTAAAACTAGCCCTACAATGATGAACAGGCAAGGCTGGTATGATTTAAATCAAATATTGTTGTTGGTTGTTTTTTAATCAATGATGTAAATCAATATTTATTTGAAATATTTGAAAATATAATTTTATTTCAAATATTTGTAAAATAAAAATTACTCAGATAATGAGACTTAAATAGATTACAAATTGATGTTAAGTACATATTATATTTCTTATAAACTTTTTCACATAATTGAACTATTGCGAGAAAATAAAATAAAAACACAATATACGATAAAATGAACAATCTCATGAAACAACAAAAAAGTTTGTAGTAGAGATGTGATACTAATATACTTCATTGATTAAGTTTTATCCAGTATTTAATTGTCTGAAGATAAAAAGTAATTTAGCAGCAATACCAAACTAGTTCAGAGAAAAGCATGCTTAAAGCTTGAACTACAAATCTTGTGTCTACAATTTGAGATTTGCATGAAAATGTTTGCCAAAGCCATTTAAAGAACATCTTAAAGCTGATGTGCATTAATAAAAATGAAATTGTATTAATACTCATTTAAAAACCAAAATGAATATTGTTAAAAGTAAACTAGTTAATCTTACTAGTTTTAGTAATGCAGTAAAATTAGCTCAATGCAGAATGTGTATAATACAGAAATCTAATTAGCACTTAATTCGCAGTTCTGGCAATACTACTATTACATTGCATAAAGCGGAACCTTGTCTAATACGGAAAGAAATTCAGGTTCCTTGAGGTTTTGTGTTGAGCAAGTTTTACTATATTAACCTTTTTCTTTATGTCAATATTGACAAAATTCTACTTTAAGTGGGAAACATACAATCCACTGACCGTTAGAGGGTTAATGGGAAAGAGTGCAAGTAACAACCATTATAACCCAATTATTTTTTTGTAACAGGACAACTATTAAGTAGAATTTAATACTTCAAAAATTGTCCTACATTGGTGGAAGGTTTTCAATGAATTCAGTTGTTTTCAACAAAATGTGCTTTTTGATTAGGTGGTATTGCACACAAAAAATAGTATAATTTATTTTAGAGAAGAATGCTGTTTTTCTAAATCTAATTGATTTAGCTTGAAACTATAAGTAAATCAAATTTAAAGATTTTTTGGATAAGGACAGTATTATACTGCGCCCCTCAGATATATATATATATATATATATATATATATAAGTCCATACTATATATATAATATATATATATACTATATATATATATATAATAAAATTACAACAATTTAATAATAAATTTAAAAATTGATGTTTCAATAAACTGTTTTCTGATTTTATGATAATTAAGGATAAATAAATCACTTAACAATTTTGGTTTAAAGTTAAAATATCTGATTTAAATTAAAAATTTGGTTTCAAGATCTAGTTTTAGGGAATGATTACTGTGTGCTCTCACAGTTTCACCCCTCGAGGTATTTTGTCCTTAGTGTTGCTATTTTCACCATCTAATTTTGAAGTTTCAGATACTTTAGCTTTGAATAAATGCACATTGTCATCTTCTTAATTATAGCCAGTGAACTTCTTTAATGTGGGGAATAATAGCAGATTCAATAGCAATGAAAATATTATTACAGATTAATACTGAAATAGGCTCGTGTAGTGATTTCATAAAAGTGAAATATCTTTTACATTGTAACTTAGGGCATTTAAATGTGCATTTCAAATTCGTTATTTCTGTTATTCTGATATTTAACTATAGTTAAAAGTAATAAACATTTGAAGGGGAACTTTGGTTTTGTATTATTTTAAATGGTGAAGTACTAAATATATGCCAAAATGTATTTGTGCTATCTCCTATTTTCCAATTAGTAAACTGGAAAAGTTTACTAATGTACAGTGAATAAAATAAATAAAGTAAGCAATTTAGCTACAAAAAGTTACTAAATCAAAATAGCTGACTTTTACAACTAAAAGTATTCCAGCTATCTTCACTAAGGTAACTGATGAAAGCAATTGGAAATTAATTTTAAACTAATGTTAAAGAATCGCACAGACCTTCCCATTTTAGTTTTCTATTTCCTTTGATCTCGGCTAGCTATTCAAACTTCCCACATACTCTTGCTGCCATCTATTACTGCCTAAAATTTTCCTTTTTTATTAACATTTTTTAAATTGTTTGCTTTACTAATAATAAGACTTGAAATAATACATTAAAAATATTAAAGAACAGTAAAACCCAGTCCTAAATGGCAATTATCTTTGAAAAATGTGGTGCCGTTTTTAGGAAAACGGCATGTAAGCGCTTCAGAATATTCAAAATTTGAATCACTTTTCACAAAGGCTTTGAGTTTTCAAAAACTTCATTGGAAATCATTTGAAGTGTATTTACTCACAAATACAATAGTGTTTACAAATTGCTGAAAATGTGCATATAAACGGCATGAAAATTTTTTTAAAAATGCATTGTAATTTTTTTAAAACAAAAAAATACCCCCGTTGTCTTAGTGCAATTAGCAAAATTCGTTCAAAAAGTTAGAAGAAAGAATTGGAGCCGTCTTTAAGAAAATCTGTTTTTTGTAATTCTTTAAATAGCATGCAATATTGTTTGAAACCTACTCAAATTTTCGAAAATAATGTACATGACCTTAATGAAAAAACAAATTACAGACAACAAATTTAATTTCAAGAAAAAATCTCAATTCAATTTTGTTGTAGAAAGACCCTGAAAAAAATTCACTTTTGAAATTTTTCAAAATTCATCAATCAAAATGGATGGACATTTTGAAAAAGAAGAGGAGAAAAGGGGGGGGGGGAATCACTTTTGGTATCAGGGGACCGCAAAACATGTATTTCTGTTGAAATCTCAAAATCAATTTTCTGCCGCATTACATAACTTTCCTTGTACTATGTATATTAGTCTGTATATACGTACATATACAGGAAGGTTAAAAAACACTAAATGCAGCAATGTGAAGAACTAAACAATTCGCAAATGTACATTCTTAGCAGCAAAGGCAAACTATCGCAGCACATTTAAAATGAATGGCTTGAATGTCAGTGGAATCTATGGAAGTAGGCTACAAACTTAAATTTAATAATGTCCCTTAACACATAAACATAAATATGCCATGAAATTGTGTGAAGATTGGCAACAGCATTTGGCCAACAAAACTAAACATAACTATCCCCATCAGAGTCAGAATACATGTTCACGTATGGCAGTAATATTTTTCAAAAATTGTCTCGTGTCTTGTGTCTTTTTAGCTTAGCACCTCTTTAAATAAGTCAAGACTTACTTAAACATAGTTTGTCATTTTAGTTTTTGAAGTTTGTTTATGTAGGACTTAAACACGTTCGATCCTTTGGATGTATATGATAGGTCATCTTCATTTTTACTGCTCAATCCTCTGGACACATTTCATATGTCCATCTACATTTATCAAGCAATAAACATCTTTTGGATGTTTGAAGGCACCTAGAATACACTTCTTAACATCATTAATGTAACAGGCCAAACGCCAATGTGTGCTTCTATTTTTCTACAAGTATTTAGATTTTTTCCGGGAAGTGATTGGCTATTCATGCTTTTGGTCACTGTTGATTACACGTATAACATCTTTGTAATAGTTTGTGCTGTTAACAAAATGTACAGATATTTTGAACTGTAGTAAAATTCACAGTAACTCAACTTCAGAAGTTCAAGAGTTTCTTAATAATGGATCAGTGGCTCCCAAATTCTAGTTTTCCTTTTTCTTTCTTTCTTTTTTCTCTCTCTCTCTCTCTTTCTTTCTCTCTTTTTTTTCCTTCTTCTTCTTCTTCTTCCAATTAATTGAGCTTGTGCATGTTCAGTGTTTTAGTCCGAAAGGACATCATCAATCTTTGTGGAAGGATTTCTTCTTTTTTTAATTTTGGACTTTGAATTATCTTAAAGGAAATGTTTATCATTTTGTCATTATCAGTTGTCGCTTTTTATTAGAAGTATGCCACCTTTTACTTTCTGAGCTAACATTTACCTTAAATTTTGAAACATCAATTTTACCATTTTACCAACTATACCGTATTTACTCGAATATAAGATGAGTTCTTAAGATCCTCTTAAATATCTGTTGTAAACCTTTGGGGTTGTCGTATATTTTCAGATTAAGCCTAGTGGGTTATGGTATAAATTTTTAAATTGCCATTCAATCACGAGACTCATAAATATTGACATATCAATAACCTGCTAAAATGGTACAAATATTACGCTTATCTAGAATTCGTAATATATTTGTGCTCATATTTTCGACATCACCTGCAAATCCCCAGATTTGCTGGGTAATTCAGACTGATATTTTTTTTAATGAGCCGTTAAGAGAGAATTACAAACAAATTGCATTGTGTCAAATAAGTGCCTAGACTTCATTATGATGCATGTTGCTGAATCTGCACAGAATCTTCATTCAACAACCAGAGTGTGAATATGCGTGTTGAATTGCGAAAGAAACATACAGAAGGGAGTGGTCTGAGATAGCAGACCAGACGACTGGTGAGATAGAAGGGAATAATCTGAGATAGCATCAGATAAGACTTAGAATGCAAATTCAATGCGCAAAATGTTCAGTGGGCCTAAGAAGTCAATGTTGTAGCATTGAAGATGGGCCAAAAAGACAGAAATTGAATAATAGGGTAGTGAAAAAACTATGATTATGATGATTTTAAGCAACGAGAAATGATAGTTCAGCAAGAAGTCTTAACATTCTCATAAACAAGCCAATTTTCTGATCAATAAGTCAATTTGTAATTTTATTGACTAAATAGTAAGACTTAGTTTAAAAAATTAAAATTCTCAGGAGAGTACTGGAGTACAGGAGGAAAATTAGTATGTTGTCTCGATTTTTTTTTGTCTTTTTTTTTTTTTTTTTTTTTTTTTTTTTTTTTTTTTTTTTTTTTTTTTTTTTTTTTTTTTTTCTTCTCTTTCTTTGTATTCTGCTCTAAATTTGAATAGGTGATCTAACGTCAAAACCGCTTGGTGTATGGAAAGAAAACAGTACACCACGTAGCCATTATGTTGAAGTTATGCTTTATTTATCTTTTTTTCATTATTATTTAAGTATTTCTTAAAATTTCAAATCTAGAAATACTTTGTGGAAAGTCAGGAATTTTGTATAAGAATTTCACGAGACACCCTGATCCAAGAATTCACTATTATTTTACATAATTTGAGCAAACAAACATCTAATATCCAACCCAAAAGGAAACACGTCTCATGTTAATTTTAACTCGTCAATTTCTTTTTTGAAATGGCATTCCCACTCTGAAATAATAGTAAACCAAAGAAAATATGGAAACTGAGAATAACTGAATTTTTGCCTTCTCTGCAGGACCTCCCCATACTGGATAAAGAACTTGGTTGTCTACTGGACACTTATGAAAGTAAGCACAATGTGCCGTTTCTGTATGATGGAACTGATTTGAGAGATATAATAAAGTCAAAATGGGAAGACTTTCAAAAGAAAAAAGAGGAAGAAAAACTGGCTCGGGTGAGAGTTTCACCTGTTATGGAGACCTTGTTCTATAATTCATAGGCATGCTGTATGCTGTTTTGAAGCTTGCAAGTGGTTTTATAATCTTTGAATTTTCTTTCAGAAGAAAGGCAAAGACCACACCCTTGCAGAAAAGACATTATCTGCAACTAAAAGGAAAAATGTTGCAACACCAGCATCTGTTCCTAGCAAAGTGTGCAAATCTAGTGGTCCTCCTTCAGGAGCTAGTAGCACTGCTAGCTCCACTGGAAGTAAGGTATGCTATATCTGTCCTTTTTTTTATTTTTGCTTCCTTTCTTTGCTATCGTATGATTGTGCATATTTTCCCTTTTAAATGTGATATCAAATATCCTTAGGCTTATTGTGAATTATTTTTGTAATGCTTTAGTCACTTGCGAGGAGTTGACTAATTTTATTTCTGTTATTGTGTCATCCATGCCTTTAGGACAGGGAATTTTCTTGTCTAAGATTCCAAACTATTGTTGTTGCTTAAGAAGTTCCTTCATGTATAAACAACTGTACTTACCTCTGGTTTATGATCATAAGACCAATGCTGTTTTACATTTGAAGCTTGTCAGGTTCAGTTGGTAATGTTTATAAAATATTTCCAGGTAGTAAGGAGGATCTTCGACAGGCGGGGAAATGTGGAAAATCGTGTAACAACTCGAACAAAATATGGGTTTCGGAATCGTGGAGTTCAGTCGCCTGAAGCATCTTACACAGATTTTCAGGTATGTGAACAATGAGAATAAACTTATTTGCATATCAGGCAATATAAAAAGTGAAGAGTAATTGTGATAATTGCATTTGTAGTCACTGGGGTGGGGAAAAAAATAAAATTAATAATGTTCTGTTCAATCATGGGTAAGTCGTTGGAGAAACACAATATTATTTTTATTATTTCCCAACACGATTTAGATCTTGGAAATCATGAAAGCATTTAATGTTAATGTTTATATTTAAAACTTAGATTAAACTATCTCAATCTAATGTGGTCATTGTTGTTGCTCTATTGTAATTGAAACTGAAATTTTTAGTATGGACTGGAGAAACGTAGTGCTGATCAAGAAATGGTTCGCAGTTCTGTGGTGCCATCACGTCTTCTGAAAGAAAGAAATGGTCAGAATGAACTTGCATGCATTAAAGAGAGAGTTGCCACCCCAGCTAAACCTCCTCGGAAAAATTCTGTTACTCGCTCCTGCACAAACTTATCAGAGTTTCGTACTCCTCAAGCAGTTCGGAAAGCAAGCCCGGGTTTGTCAAGGTCTCGTTCAGCTCCTCGACTTGCCACGGCTAGAGGTCATTTACCAATTATAATTTGATTCTGACATATTATTTTACAATGTTTAATATTAATTTGCTAATATTTGTTACTCTAAATTATTGTTTATTTTTTTAAGTAATTGTGGAGAAGTAAATTGATTTATTTATTTACTTCTTCCCAATTTAAAATTTATTAGTCGATGCACTTTCTATCATTTTGTTTCCTTTTGGAAAATGAGCTTTGATTGTATTTATATTTTACATAATGCTACACATGTCGAGATTTGTTCTAATGTTACATAATCCAGTGTGTGAATTGAAAACCAAAGTTTCTTTCTCTCCTTCTCAAGCTTATATTATTTCTGTAGTGTAAAGTTCTGGTGAATCTTAATAGAAAAATATTTAACTAAATTTACTAGTTTGCTTTAAATAACTGTTAAAGTGTGTGTAGGTGCTAACAGCTCAGAATTACAAAACAGTATTTCTCACAAATTTATAATTAACAAGAAACATTTGTAAGTTTTATGTAACAAGCTGTATAAAATGTATATAATAAACTACTTTTTATATATTATTATTTTGATTTTTTTCACTTGTCATTTTCGGAGTTTATTTGACAAAGCTGTTGAACAGCCAAAAATTGAGAATTGAGAGGATCAGGGGCAGTCTGTTTTAAATTAAAATAGGCTAATTTATATCTCTCAGCAGTTGTATTTTCAAAAATTGTCGTTAACCTGGGAGTGAGTTGCATAGGAGAATTGGGCCCACCTGTCTTCATATAGTTTTGTTAGAGAACATTGTGAACACCTGTGATTTTTCAGTACTTACCCTTTCTCTCACTTTGTTTTTCTCTCTTCTTTCTTCTGTCATATCATTACTTGAAACCTGATTGTAGGCTTTTTTCAATTCTCAGAAATTTAATTTACCAGTGCATTGTCCACAGAGCTCTTGCAATAACCTGTTTCCTTTATAACAATTCAAGTAGGTACAGCCAACTTTGGCACATATTCTTTCTCATGTGCAGCCTATAAGGCTAATCCCATAAATCCTAGATAGTCATAACTATTTTGTAATTGCATGTAATTTGTAATCATTGGAATCTGCAAGGTTGACAAATTGTGTACTCTTTAGGTATAAACTGTTTACGAGTTTGACTGATTGTACTACTTTTGAGTGATATGTTTGCTGAATATTCGAATCCATGTAATATTAGAAATGTTAAGTTACTTCAAGACAGTTTTTTGTTCTTCATGGATTTCAATTCGGCTCCTTAATTCCCAGCCTTGCTAGAATTGCAAATGATATAATATGGGGAAAGAACTGCCAAAGGATACTATAAACAAATCTAATTATTGTTCTAATGAAATTTTTTCCCCATATGTATTAAGCTTAGTCAGTTGTATTTGAAATATAATAAAAAATTTTAAAGTTACTGATACTGCCACAAAGTGCCTTAAAAAAAGAATTGCAGACAAGTTTGCTTTGTTTTCTCCTATTCATATACACCTATTATATGGCTCTGATCAGAATTCAATTCTAATAAGATTGTCACTATGGATGATATGCAAAATGGCACAAGATTTGCACTCAGAACACTCTAGCAGAAATACAAAGAAAGAGAACTGATTAGGCAAGTTGTGATTTGGTCCAAGAAATTTGGACAGCAAAACCTTTCGTGGAAAAGGAATGTAAGAAAACAATAATATGAAGATCATATTCATTGTTTGTGATGATTGTGTACTCATTACTGACCTATACATTCTCAAATTAGCTTTTATTGTTTATTAATGTTTGATGAATTTTACAAACTTGTCTTGATAATTTTATATTAAAAGAACTCTACAAATGAAGTTTAGGATGTAAGTTACTTAAGTATCGGATTATACTAATTCATGATGTAGGAAGACCTTTGCAACAAAACAAATTCTGGTGTCAGTTTTCCCCATGTCAGTCAGAAATGTTTATAGATGAGATGTGACTTCTCCCTTCTTAAATATTTATGGAAGGGGCCACATAAGTGATACATGTCTGAAACTTGGCATTGTTTATTTTTATGTGCAAGAATTTATTTGCACGAACTTTGTGGGCCTTTTTTTCCTGTGTGAGCGAACTGATGTAAAACTTCAGATTCACTTTCTCTCACTTCGTTGGAAAAAGTATTGTAATTGTACGCTGAAAACTGAATTTTTGACAGAAAGACTTGTATTGTCAGACCTTGGTAACAAAAAGGTGGATAAATCTTGTAACAATATTTTTCCTCTAACACATGTATTCAGAATCCATCCCCTTTGAATTTTCGAAAATGTAAATTAGAAATGATGCGATAAAGTATGTGCTGTTATAGTTCTGCCTAGTTCGGTAGGAAGGACCCCCAAAACCTGGATTCCAACTACACTGTTAGAAGAAGTAATTTACTATTTGTAAGAATAAGGTTTACCCACGCCTGCCCGAGAGTTTCTTTGCGAAAATTCGCTGTTGTCAGGCCCACGATTACAATATTTTCATACAAAGAAAGTAAAAAAGAAAATCGTCGATGAAAAGACCAGAGTAAGGCAAAATACTAAAAATATGCGTCAAAAGCTAAAATAAGGAAAATTAAAATCTAAAAATTTTTCTGAAGTAGTTAGCCGATTCCCGTTTAGTTTTTTAAGTGATAAAGATAACGGCACACTTTCTCGCAATAGGTATTTTTCTACTATCTGCTAGCTTTTTCTGTATTGTCACTCGCTCTTCCCAGCTGCTACTTAGTCTCCTAAAATACTCCCCACACACAAGAAGTCCTAATTGTAGCTTTGAAATAATACAAAGAATATTATAGGTTTATATGGTTCTATATGCTCATTTACATGAAAATTTTGGGGAAATGTCATTTCTGAAAATGCACAATTTTGAGCTTATTTTCGAAGGAAAGTTTTGAAGTTTTTGTGAAACTTATTGAGTAATTTGAAGCATTTGTACTCTCAAAAATCTATACTTAATAAATTCGGATGTTACAACAATGCTTTCTTTCTCCCTTAAGTAAGATGAGAAAGTAATCGTGCTTCGGAAAACACGGTATTTTCGATATATATTTTCCTATGTACAGTCGACTCTGGTTGTAATAAGTGTAGGAAATGCAACGTCCTGGAAATTAATTTCATGGAAAATAATGTATAGCCTCTTTACAAATTCCAACACTGGACGGTTTGGAAGAAATGGCGGCCAAAGGTCATAATCGAAGAAATCTAACTTGGAGGTAGCAGACAAGGATGTGACCATGTGTCACGCAGTTTCACTGTGTCCTGCAAGGGGTTCCAACTGGCAGTTGTGACGCGCGACTGTTTGCTTCAATGTCTTTTTTTTTCTCAACTTTTCACTTCTTTCTTTAAAAAACGCGTTTTGCTGTAAGTGGGTGACAGGAAGCAAGCTGCTGCCTCTGCAACACCCGCCACGCCGTCTATGGTAAAAGTTAGCGCCCAAACTGTTCAGCCAATTTTCTCCAGAATTGATGTTCCTCGAACTCTATACCCTGAGAGTTCGAAACGGATATTTTGATTAGGAGGGAGGGGGGTAGCCTCAATCACTTTCAAAATTGGCGCCAAATTGGTTGATTAAACTGTCCTCGGATAGGGTAAAAAACGAGTAAGAGATTAAGAACAGTCTCATTTTCGTTACAAAATCCTAATTTTTTGACGAAAGCAGTTCAAATTCACTTCGTCTTCCAACTACTATATTGACACGAACCGAATTTGCTCCCGAGACGCAGTTTCGCGTTGCTGTTGATACTTGTCCTCAATACCCTTCGTTACGCCGACGTTTCTACAAGGATCATAAATCCCGACCTCTTCACTGCGAAGTCACAAAGGCGACCAGCTGCCACCGGCACGCCGCCTTACCCACTTTAATCACTCCCACCAAGACAAACGAACTGCCATAAGAGGCAAGAGTTACACCACATCTAATTAGCATCACTTAGCGATTACGCCTACCCATTCGTAATAGAGATAACCGCCGAAGGCGCACTCTCGCGCAAATTTCACAAACGCTTAACGTCTAAAAATTCAACTGGCTGATATTCTTTAGGCGAAGGGAACTTTCTAGCCAAAAGAACCCTTGCCCCCACTCAGAATTAAGAACGCATGTAAATTTCCAGAAACGGACAAACACGCCGAAATCTCAGGGAATGATGCAGTAATAATCGCGAAAAATTTTTTTAACGATGACCTTTCTTCCTAGTTCTTTTACACAATAAACAGTCGAAGGCAAAAGCTCGCTGTGAGCACTGATGACAATATTCCAAAGACATCTTTACTGGTCCGAAATATAAACTATTTTCTGTTGACGAGAACTTCTATCCATGATTTTCTTCAAAAAATCTAAAGAAGTGACCGAAGCAGGTGAAGATCCATCACAGGAGATAACTCGATCTCCTGAGACAGGATGCAAATTATTGAGAAAATTGCGAGGCATAACTGATTCTCCGGAGATTTGCATTGTGTTATAAAATATAGTGACAGGATGTGCGAAAAAAACTAAGAAATTCGCCAGTATAAGTTAAAAAACATGGAAAAGTTTCAGTTCTTCCGCTTCAATAGAAAAAATGGAACTGAAATAACACGCACAGTGAATATATCAGGCTGACCGTCCGCCACATAACAGCGAATGCTGTCACAGTCACCGAACGCAGGACGCCATCGCCGCCGGCTTCGATCGGTAGCGGTTGGTGCCCGAACAAACTGGACGCTGCAGCTTCATCAAATGATGGATATGTAATTTCCAAAATTCAGAACACTAATATATAATAAAATGTAAGCTATTCATGTAAGTTGAACAACCAAGTTTAATAAAAATCGTATTGAAGTTTTTTTTTAGATATTTTAATGCGTAGTGTCCGTGTTAGGTTATTCACCTCCCGCGCTCGTAATTCTGACTTTTATTTCCAGTATTGCAAGTATTTCCAGTAACAAGCATTTGTTTGTCCACCTTTTATACAAATATAATTATTTTTTATTTCGAAAACTTCACCACCCTGGAATATTTTGCAATAATGAATCATCTTCTATACACAATACCCCCTACTATTTGGTTTGTGTCACCAAAGGTCGTATTTTCCCCCACGTTAAAGCGAAGGACCAAAGAATAAATGAAGCTAAGGGCGCGGTGCAATACTTGCGAGTCACCAGACGCCGCAGAGAGCGCCAGTTTGACACACGTCGTTAGGTACGCACGTCAGCAGAACGCTCATACGCAGGAGCCCTACATCACCCATGATGGAACAAAGCACCCCCAGATCCCATTACTTACTCCTTGCAAGGCTTGTAACAAATTTATAGATAATATAATTTAATTAATTATTAAAAATAATTAATACAAAGTAATAAAATATAATTTCCTCAAAATGACAAAAAAACTGACAGTTGAGTAAATGCTCAAAGAAACCACCATTTGCCAACAGACAGGCGATAACTCTTTTCAGTGTAGTGGCTGCAGCATGTTGAAGACTAACAACACGACAGAGTAAGTGCTTTCTCTTTTGTCAGGTTACTCTAAAATATTAGAGGAGCTTTTCTTTACGCGGATAAAAACATTTCTCAGCGAGCGTTTTCAGACTCACAA